TATGGACCTGACCCGTAGGTGGTGCAATCTGAATACAGTGAGTCTCCCGAGGGGCGATGAGCACTGCTCAGAGTGCGAAAGTTTCCTCCACTGTGTCTCGTTATGACTGAAAGTGGAAGATGGGGAGGAATGATGTCCTTAAAAGAGGACACACCTCTTTTCGATGTCCCGGTGGAGTGATTCTATCATTTCCACAGGACCTAATTGGAAGCACAGGATTTTCCAGGTCACTAGTGTCCTTATGGGACTTGACAGTGGTTTCAGATGGGCTCACTCGTACCTCATTTGAGCCTCTGGGAGAAGCTGTCATGAAGCATCTGTCACTAAAGACAGTGCAATCACTGGCTCTGGCATTCGCCAAGCGAGTCAGTGACTTCAAGCGCTATCTGTGCATCCTCCACGCACCTAGTTCGTCGCAGGGCAAACTAGAGTGTTGCTGAGGCCCAATCCTACCTTTATCCTAAGGTGGTTGGTTCAGATACCCCAATTGACATTGAGGCAATTTTCCTCGCCGCTGTCCCCCCCCGGGGAACAGCAGTTGAATTTGCTATGTCTAGCCCGTGCTTATGCACTTATGTGGACAGATCAAGGGAGTTTTGTGTCATAATGACCAACTCTTTGTGTCCTGGGCTAACCCTTACAGGGATAGGCCCGTTACTAGGCGACGGTTCTCCCACCGAATGGTAGAGACCATTGCTTTGGCCTATACGAGTCGGAAATTGCGGGCACCTTCGGGTTGCGTGCTCTTTAGACTCGGGGTATGGCTACACCCTGGGCTGTTTGCTCAAGGGTGTTTCCATCCAAGACATTTGTGCAGCGACGGGCTGGTCCTCGCTGCTCACTTTTGTCCGCCTTTACGGGCTAGACGTCTCTGTTCCCAGTGTGGCCCAAGCAGTGCTGGGCGCCCCGCTGAGTCAGAGCTCTACCTGTTAGGTTCTGGTTGGTTTGGCGATTTTCGAGATAAGCTCGTCTGGCAATACGGTAGTTAAGATTTCCCATAGTGAGACATCGAACGGAGTGTTATGAATGAGAACTATAGGTTACTTACGTAACCCCAGTTCTCAGAGTAACATGAAGTGAGATGTCTCACCAGACAGCCCTCCTTGCTATGGTGAAGCGAGAAGAGGTGCTTATTTTGAATGACGCATGCGTCGTGGCGCAAGCTACTTATGGGGGTGGATTCCCTGACGATGACGTCGAGATCACCTAGTAGCATCCCATAGTGAGACATCTCACTTCATTTTACTCTGAGAACTGGGGTTACGTAAGTAACCTATAGATATGGATGCTTGAAATACACAAAGAAAACACCTGTATCTGCTTTCTTTTAAATGTAAATTACCTAATCTGTGCCATTACTTCTTATGAAGGCAAATAATTGCTCCTACTGAAGGAGTTTGTCATCTCCTTCATGATAAATGTATGATTTTCATTTAAACTTTTCTCTTCTTTCTGTTGTTTTAATGGGATAAAGTGCGAAATTTGAATCTCAGACATTAGGTTTTCTTCTATTGTGTGTAAAGGAAGATATCATTTTAACTGAAAATAGTTTTGGAAATCCAAATGACCGTCGTTTCCATGTTTTGGTCTTGATGTCTATACAAATTGTGTTGAGGGTCTTCTTGAGTTTCTATCTTTTATTTCAAGGGTTCGAAATAGGTATATTGCAATAGGTTTTCACATACAGGGGAATTGCCTTCATGTAATTGGATATTCCTGGCAGCACACAGTATTTGCCTGGGAGTCTGAATGTTCTGAGTGATGTCATTAAAATATGCATCAGATTTATTAGTTTTTCTCCCTCTGGAACAAGAAAAAGGGCCTAAACTGCTGGGTCTATTAAAGGAGCAGTCCCTATAATGAGCTTTGTCTTATACTGCTCTAAATTAGTTTATAAATCTAATTAAAGATTGTATTTGAGCTGGAATAACAGCATGACAATAAGACTGTTATTCACTGTCCTTCTTGTACATTTTAACGGTGTTTATGTTTTATCAGTTTGATCCCAATGTAAAATAAATCACATCATGATTTAATATCTTTATGTGATAGGTTCTTTTTTTCTATCACATGTCCATTTTCCCCCTAGTTTATGAATAAATTTTAAAGTGAGACATTGTTGCAACATGTGTTGGCAATACAATCATTTAAAATTAAGATTTTAATGTTTTATTAAAGTACATTTTTTTGCTAAATTATCAAATATTTCAAAGTAAGACATTACGACCCTCTGTAAAATAAGATATTTAAGATTTTTATTTTGTGTTCACACGTCAATGTTTTTCACTAGATTATGAATAATTTTGAAGTGAGACATCACAACCGACTGTAAAAATGCATAGCCTACAGATGAGTTGCCAGTAAAACAACATATTTAAAACATATTAGGTGCGTCCGATATGTCATCTCTCTCTCCGTTGAATCGATCTGCCTGATAAACCGGAGGGTTTCTCATCATTTGTATTTTGCGTCTGACTGCAGATTCAGCGCCGCTGCTGCTCATACGCAATCCCTGGATAGGTGGTTGCCATGGATTCCTGGGTCACATGCGTGGGTTTCCTGTAGCCAGAAGCAGCAGAAGAAGAAGATGCTTGGACGAAAAATCCAGAGCCATTTTCATTCAAGAAAAAGAGAGGAATCGCTGTGGAGGGATTGCTGACTGGGTGGCCTGACTACACCCGTCTGCTCGTTTTGGCTTTTTTCATCCCACTGGGTGCTTTTGGTTATTTCGGATTCGCAGCAAACCGGTTTTGTCCACATTCATAGACTGATAATAGGAATGAGTATAGAAATTCCTGAAGGACTGACGGAGCTGTTACAGAGCTTTACCGTGGAAGTGTTGAGGAATCAGCCCAGGGATTTGCTCGAGTTTGCATTACAGTACTTCACCCAGCTGAAGGAAAGTGAGACCAAAGAGGCCTCTTTTGGCAATGACCAAAATTCGGCCCCAAGACCTGGAAAAGCGGTCAATTTCATTGACGAAGCCATGCAGATCGATTCGGAAAACGGAGAGGAGGACGACGACGATGACGAGGAATTCATAGGTAGGCGATCATATGTACTCTATGTCGGGAGGAAATGTGATGGTGGATTTTTTTATTCATTAGGAACAATGAGCATGTTTCGCTGTGTACACGGCTTCAGATGGAGACACATTGCTCGCGTGATGCTCCGCCACCTTGCATCCACCACGGCGCTGTCATTTGCCATATATGGTCACAGAGGGTGAAAGATGGATAATGAACGTGTCTTGTCTTCATCTGTGTAGACACGTTTGTGTGACAAGGACAGCATTCAGGCAAAGCATCTGCAAAAAAAAAAGGGGTTTGTGTTTATTTCCACACAGGCCTACCCTGCACCTCTAGGTCATTTCAATATTTCCAGTTTCAGGTGCAGGCCGGATGGGCCTTCCATGATTATGTATAAGAAAATATGACAAAGCAGACACACGTGAACAATGAACCTCTGCTGTGATGCAAGCAATGCAAAAGATGTGTGTAAATGTATCTGGATGAATTGTGCTCCCTGAGCTGTGGTCATATGTCTCACTGTGGCCGGTGCAGTGTGGCCACAAGGTGCAGCAAGTAGCATAGCAACCCAGAGCTCTGACACAGCATCCCAATGAGGGTTGGGGTCTGCAAGGCAGCCTGCAATGGTTACATAAGGACACGCACACTGCATTCAGTCAGTAAACTAACTATTGTAGTATTTTTGGGTCATGATTGTGTCATATCAAACCTCCAGTGCCTTGTCTTAATGAAATTCCAGTGAGCCTCCTTGGACAACAATGGCTGGCAGGCTATTAATGGATGAGACGTCCTATCTAATGTATATTTCATATTGAGACTTTTGTGTGAGAGCTTGGCACCTTTGCTGGGTTTTGCATTTTAATTTTGTTTCTCATTCAAATTAGATTCAAACGCACTTCAAAGCAGCTGTCCTCATTCAGGTTTTTACCAGAAATGAATAAGGCTCCTTAATGAGCAAAGGTCTGTGTGTACGCCACTACACATGTACCACTGATGTAGAAACACTTGTGTGTTAGGATAACCTTATCTGCATCAATGATTCACCTTTTCTGTGAGATAGATGTACTGCATCATGAAATAAAACATTATAATACATATGTTTTGCTTTTGCAGCCCCGGTAATAAACAGATTCATCAGAAGAGCATCAGGTGAGTTATCATTCGCTAGTTGATTCAAGCATGTTCTGTCAAGAGGGAAACACTGGACTGTGTCAGTGCTGGAAACATATACAACTTCTTTGACACATGAATACGTCAGACCTGCTCCATTACAAGGGAAAATGAAGTATTTTTCCATCTTTCTTTTCTCAATGTCTTCTGCTTAATATAATCGTGCAGATTTATTAGAGTTTGTGAAACCACTCTGTCTCTAGCCGGGTTAATAATGTCAGTGAGTGACGTTGGTGAGGAGAGGAGGACAAGTACTGCTCGTAATTATAATCTCCCTCTCATGATAATAGTAACATTGTGGCTTCAACTTCATAACTGCATTAGGACTGATGCATCTGCATGTTTGACAGCCTGAATGGAAAGTATGAGCAAGTAAAGGTATTCAGTAACAGCTAAAGCATATTACTTACATTTGATCACTTCAGATTTTACCTAAACATCCTCTGCATAGGCCAAAGAAATAGCACTTGTGAATAAAATGCATTTAATAATGAATTGAAAAAGGGGTATATTTGAATTAATGTAAGAAGAATTGAACGTTTGTTATGATACAGTGCCCTGTGCAGTATGAAAGCCACCAACACACCCCTAAAGGCTCGCTCTTAAGACAAAATAAAGCTGTGTTCATTGAAAGATGTATACACAAAATGTTGCTGAATCCTTCCTGACATTTGCTGTTGTTATGATCACTTGAATATGACACTTTATGTTTTATTTAAAATATTGTTGTTTCCAAAGGTTTTGCCTTTGGGTAGACATCTTAATTTTAAGGTGAATTATGCTCTCTGTTAGAAAGTGTCGAGTTCATTCATTCGTTGATCTCTGTCATGCAGTGTGTGCTGAAGCTTTCAATCCAGATGACGATGATGAGGATAAAGAGCCAAGGGTAAACTGTCTTTCTTACCATGAAGATCCCGTCTTGGTTGATTTTTAGTATGGATTGCAGCTCTGAATATGAATCAAAGAGTCAACATATATGTATGTATATGTACTTTAAAGTGTATGCCATCATAGGCTTATATCATAAGACCCGTGTTTTAATTTACAGGTCACCCACCCTAAAACTGATGAGCAGAGACAGAGACTACAGGAAGCATGTTGGAACATTCTTCTGTTCAAGAATTTGGATGCGGTGAGTGGATTATTCCATAAACACTCTGTGCTCCTCTGGTTTGTGCTCTGCCATGTCTTAAATTACACAAAGGAGGACATGGCCCGAGGCCAGCAGATTTTTGCCCAGTTCAGTGCACTATGCATGATTTGTTAAGATGGTTATTTTAAAGTAGCTGAAACAGCACGCTGAGTGGATTCTGCATGATTGTTTTTTTTAATTTATTTGACTGATATTTTTCACAGGAGGAGATGTCTCAGGTGCTGGATGCCATGTTAGAGAAATTCCTCACCGAAGGCGAGCACATCATTGATCAAGACGACGACGGGGACAACTTTTATGTTATTGAAAGGTGAGCTTTCGTGTGGCTCTCACAGCATGACTTACTTATTATTTTTTAAATCAGATCATTGATTGTTTTGTAGAACTGTAAAATGTTTATGAAATAATCTGTAAAATCAATGTTTCAAGCTGATTCAAGATTTCCGGACACACCAATATGTCTGCCATGTATTTATATTTTTCTCTGATGTTTTTTCTTTTTCATTCAGTGGGAAGTTTAACATTTTCGTGAAGATTGAAGGCACAGACAAGATGGTAGGCTGCTATGACAACCGAGGCAGCTTTGGAGAACTAGCGTTGATGTACAACACCCCCAGGGCAGCCACAATAATCGCCACCTCCCCTGGAGCCGTTTGGTGCCTAGTGAGTAAACCATTAAAGCCTCATGCAAGGGCACAGTTGGCTCCGTGCACAGGATTAAAAACCCGCTGTGCTGTTAGTTCCCACATTTAACAGTAAATATCCAGGTTGTCAGTGACAGTGTTGGCATTATTAGATGAGATCATGTGTACTTACTGCGATAACAAACTGTATGAAACCTAATGAATGCAACAGTACGTGAGAGAGCACTAATAATGCCCCTGGATATGAATACATGTTCATTAATGCATTTATTAAAGCTAATGAATGTGGAAACTGAATGTGAAAAGATATGTTTATTTATGAATGTAATACAGGCCAATTAAAAATGTTTTGTGGCCCATTCAGAGAGCTCCACTATCAGACCCGCTCAAAAAGGCAGAGTGAACCTCAGATTAATTTAACTTGTTGAGTAATCAAGTTATTCAATTATCAGAATTTAAGCTGGGTCTTTAAACACCATAATGGAAAACACAAAGTGCGATAACAAAAACTGGTACATCTAAATTAAAACAGTTTTAAAAATTGGGTCTGAAAACAGCTGTTTGTAGTTGATCTGTGAAGCAGCTTGTTTATTAATGACTCAGCAAAGGTCGTGTCCTTATACTGTGGGGAACAGCGTTGTTATGTCATCTGTGTGCAGACCGGGCAGGTTGCAGCAGTATCCCCTATTGACCCAGTACTTGTAGTTTGTGTTTGAGGTTGTGAACAAGCAGAGAGTCGTGTTCAACAGACAAGCCCCTGACATCGAGGAGGGACAGTGAGGGCCTTTGTTCAAACAGTAGTTTAACGGATTTAGGTCTGGGACATCTATCAGGCTTATTTCCACTGATACTGCTGATCACTTGGTATCATTTGAAATGGGGTTGTAATGGTTAACTTTTTGGTAACCTTGTTAGATATTAAAGCTGTGGTACACCATGTCTTTAGGCCTAGGACTGACTCTACTGACAACCAGAGGTGGAAGAGGTACTCAGATATTATACTGTACTTAAGTAAAAGGTAGTAATACCACGGTGTAAAAATACTCAAGTAAACATCTGGTATTTTTCGGAATAATATATATTATATCGCTGGATTTTAAATAACAATCCATTTATGCACACATCATTTTAATGTGGTAGCTGGTTAAGGTTAAGCTAACTTAAACAACGTTTTATCATGCCATGTACCTTATAATAATATGCCATAACTAATATGTCAATTACATTTTTGTATTAATATTATTAACCTGGAAAGTCACTATTAACTAATCTTCTCAAATAAAGGTAGTGAGTAAATAGTACAATATTTCCTTCCCAATGATATAGGAGTAAAAGTTTACCGTAGCATAAACTTTAAAGACTCAAGTTAAGTTCAGTTAAGTACCTCAAAAAATGTACTTAAGTAAAATACTTGAGTAAATATACTACTTTCCAGCACTGCTGATAAGTTAACCTCAAGGTTAGAACTGTGTTTGCTCATTCGTTGGGACTTTATTATTCCCTAGCCAGAGGGCGCTGTATTCATTGTTTTCTACAGAATAGTATGTAACCAGCTACTACTGCATTCTGCCATCAAACATGTTGCTGGATATTATTTGAATCTAAAACATCATCCTGCTGAATGACATACAAACTAACTGAGATATTTCTAAAGATTTATCGCTTAGAGCAACAGCCTCCATGAGCACATGATTGATGCTGCTTGAATTATCCGAGTTGGTGTTATGGTTTGAAGGAGACGCTTGTCTTACTTAACAACGGGTTAACAGTGACCCCTACTGCAGAAATGTTGTTTCATAAGAGGTATTGTTTGGTTAAAGATGCCAGAACAGTCTAGGGAAAATGTAAAAAAGGTCAAAATCAAAGGTGTTTTACAGGAGAAAAAAAGAGAGGGGCTTTTGAATAAATACAAAAAATACTCTGACATGTTTTTTATACGTTTTCTTTTAATCTGTGTTTCAGGATCGTCTGACATTCAGGAGGATAATAGTGAAAAACAACGCCAAGAAAAGGAGGCTGTATGAGGCCTTCATTGAAACGCTACCACTGCTTACATCATTAGAGGTTAGGATTAGTTTGTCCTCCAATGTGAATAAAGTTGACCATGCTTTAAAAGTAACTCCATTGTTAACCACATATATTTTCTTCCACAGCTCTCAGAGAGAATGAAGGTAGTGGACGTAATATCCACCAACGTGTACAATGATTCACAGCAGATTATTGCTCAGGTGAAGAATCTCTATGATCTGTTCTTACATTGATAATTTCACCTTCTGCTGCAATGGAGCAATAATAGATACTGAGTCACACGTTTGTATTGCAGGGTGATTTAGCAGATTCCTTCTACATTGTTGAGTCTGGCCAAGTAAGAATCACCATGAAAAGAAGCAGGGTATGTTTGACCAGTTTACCCTTCGTTATTTAAGTTTAAAAAATGTGTTTGCATATCCAATTAGGTTCATTTTGTGTTTTTCTTCCTGTCAGACGAAAAAAGATCAGGAAGATGAGGAGGTGGACATCGCCACGTGCTCGAGAGGCCAGTATTTTGGAGAGTTGGCGCTTGTCACAAACAAGCCCAGAGCTGCATCAGCCTATGCTGTGGGACGCGTCAAATGCTTGGGTATATGTTTATGATTTATTTAAAAACAATCATAACTCTAAGTCGAAACTCTCCTTAAATGATTTCTGACTCCTCTTTTCTTTTTCTGTTTTGTCAGTCATTGACGTACAAGCCTTCGAGAGACTGCTGGGCCCGTGTATGGACATCATGAAGAGAAACATTGCTAACTATGAGGAGCAGCTGGTGGCCCTGTTTGGGAGTAGCACTGAGATTGAGCAACAAAGTGCATGAACAGCAATGGACCATGAATTGGTGGATGAAAAAGAGGGTTGTTACGATGTTTCCCCCATAATCACTTAAACAGCTTTTCTTACAACAAATGTGAATATCCACTACTACATTTGTGTGTCAGATAAATATAACAGACTACGTCAGAATCCCATATGAGACGAGGTTCATTTTAGCAGAGTTGCCAGAGCGTGTTACAGTAAGCCAAAGCAGAGTTGCTTAAAGCTTGTTTGAAGTAGAATTCTCACAATTCTCACCTTAAAATGTAAGCGTACATTTTACCTGTCAGTGTAAGACGCATTATCTGTTTGTATATTGAACACTTTTGTTATTGCTCACCTTTTTCTCCACAGTGTTATAGTTACACCTACAGTATAATATCGTTTGTACTACATTTCTAAACATTGTTTGTGGAAATCAGATGCCAAAGCTAATTTCTTACTGGATAATGGTGAGCAAATATGTCACGATCTCTCGTCATTTTTGGCTAGAGCACTAACATTCGCGGCAAGAGGTGCACTGGTACAAGTGCCACAATATGAGAAAGGATTACAATGTGTAAAAGAAGTTGATTTGATAACATATTTCACATTTTGATTACCACAGAATGTAAACTTGTCAGTACTTTAACATTTTTACAAAATATGTTTCTGTTTATCATAATGTTGAACCCCTTGAACACGTTCATAAACTTTATATCATCGTTGGTAAGTGTGTTTGTGGCTGTTAGCCTAATTCTATGCTTTTGCAAAAAACAAACTTCAGAGAGATAGCTGATAGTTTTGTAAGAGTATACAACACATTGCTATACAATTTGAAACTGAGTATTTACTGTTATTATATAGGCCCAGCTTTAATTGAATAAGTTGCCCCTGTAGACTGTAGTCATTATAGGGAGTGTCTTGAAACAATTGATTTTCCTGTGTTTTAATGTAAAATGTAGGTCATATTGTTTTTGTGTCTGTGAAACATACATTATGATTATGACATTCATTATTGCTGTCTACCTCTGCCAACAACTTTTGGAAACATATGTTCCAACGCTCCCTCTAAGCAGGAATCTAAAGGGGGTCTTCTCTCTCTCTCTCTCTCTCTCTCTCTCTCTC